CGGGTCACATTCACGTGATTTGAGCAGTTGCTGCTTCGGACGCTCACACATGTCAACGGTGATTTGAGCAGACGCTTCGAAGCACTGCTCTATGGAATAGGAGTCCAGGGTTGAAGCTCCGTACCCCCCCCCCGCTCGAAGCTTCAGTGTCAAACTTGGCCATCACTAGTAATAACTACGTTGGTCCACAACGTAGGGACATACGTATTTCTACAAAAACCCTCTGAAATTGTAGGATGCCCTACGTTTTTTTTCACTATCATTCCAATGGCTGGCGTCTATGTTCACGTGATCTTCAAATTTCTCCCTGCATTAAATACTTACATATCTGCTGTAGTTTCTCTATTTATTTGATGAGAACGACTTCTAGNGAAATATCGTGGTTAAACATGATTTGTAGAAAAACGACAGGATTAATTAAAAGCGTAAACAAATCAAATGAAATACAGAAATCAGATTTACCACTTGTACAGCTCTGACGCTATTTAACAATTCTTCTTCTTCTTCATGTTCTTCTTCATCTTCATCTTCTTGGCTCGTCGCACTTTTATTGATGCGCAAGGTTAAAGTTCAAGGGATTACGATCGTGACAAAACGTGACAAAAGGTCCTAATAAACTGCTGCTGGAAGTGAATAGGGGGAAAGCTAGGTGGCTATGGGTCGTAATATCGTGATCAACACTGCTTAAACAATCGACCTATTTGGTCGTTTTTTGTAGGACGACAGGCTGATCTTATAGCAGGCCCTCTTCTAGGCTAGGCCTATATATATAGATATCTATATATATAGATATCTATATATATAGATATCTATATATCTATATATAGACATAGCCATCTTATAGTAGCCTATACTATTTGGTTCACCTAGCTAAGATATTAACAGGATTCACATTACAGGGCTGATCAAAGTCTTACATGTGGTGCCATATCCTTATCGGGGCTATATCTAGTTTATCATTGACCGATCATGAAATTGCTATATTAAGATTCACATCAAAGGGCTTACCTGCCACTATGGGGGCAATGTTCACAAAAACAAGTCAGGGCTATATCTGGTTTATCATTGACCGATCATGACATTGCTATATTAAGATTCACATCAAAGGGCTTATCTGCCGCTATGGAGGCAATGTTCACAAAAACAAGTCATAAAAGATAAGGGGGTCAAAGGTCTGAACAGATAAGAGGGTCAAAGTCTGATTTCAGAGTGACAGGTGTTTTGGGGAAGGACTTCCGGTGATTTGGGGGCGGGACTTCCTGTTTGGGAGGCGGGACTTCCGGTATTTGAGGGTGGGACTTCCTGTTTGGGAGGCGGGACATCCGGTTTATAGGGGCGGGACTTCCGGTTGATAGGGTCATAAATCATTCCTTATCAGTCATTAATCAAAATCGAACAGAAGTGGGGGTCTTATAACTACTCATGTGGTAAATGCTTGTATGCTGCTCATGCTCTTTCTGCATGTCATGTATTTATATTTGCTACGTATATAAATGTCATGTTCTTGTATGTTGTATGTAAGGGGACTGCGGATGGAAATTAGGTTAAAGCTCAAATCCGGCTCATTTATGCTTGTAAGCATTGTTTTGTTTTAAAGTGTTCATCGATGTGTGGCGATGAGAGGAAGGATTCAAGTAAAGATATTTTAGCTCACCAGAAGGCCAAGATGCAGGAAATTGGCCAAAGAAGCCAGACAACACAAACCCCGTAAAACTGAGAATACAGAAAGCTTTTCCTGCCGGTTATAGGCTCATAAAGTATTGTGTGTACAGGCTTTTGCAAGACGTTTAGTCCCACACTACAGCTTTAAAAAAACAACTTCAGTGGAGGACTTTCTTCTTGGTTCTACCCTTGGTCTTATGGAGATGGAGGTGCACACACAAGCACACACACAAGCACACACACAAACGGTCTATTTGGGAAGTCATTCCGCCCGTTTGCACATGCTTTAATCGCCACAGAGTGGAAAGCCCAGACTGAGTTGTTGCTTTGTTTTTCCAGTCATCGGGAGATGTATCAACGTGATGAAGGAGGAGGGTCAGCGCTGAGTAATGGGAGTCGCTCTCTGGTTAAACTCACATATACACCATGACACAGTGCCTATCAATTATACCGGGTGTGGGCAAATTGATGGGCACAGAATAGTCCATAATATACAACCTACCTGCTTGTATCAACTAAGAGGGGACTGTCAGGAACAAAACAAAACACGCCTGTGTAATCAGGGCATGTTCAGTGGTGTTTATTATGTCTGATGTCAGAATGTGGAACAAGGGCTTTCACTGCAACAACATGCAGTGTTCTTTGCTGAATGCTAAGCAGGACTGGGTGAAAAATGCAGAATTCTGAATGTATTCTGAATAAATGTTATATCTAGTGACTAACAGGCCTGGCAGTGAAGATCAACTCTGTGCATTTACATAGGGTCTTTTCTATCATTGGCGCTGCCAAAAAAGGACAGTGTATCCCTTCCCTACTTTAATTCCCTTACCAACACGCTAAATTGGGAGGTGTGTTTGTATTCAGGTCAGAATGTGGTAAAAGAACCAATATTGGCATTAAAATCACTCAATATGATAATTATGTAAAACAACATAGTATTTCGGTCATTATGCAGTAATACGTACCCGATGTGTTCACATGTAAGTAGTATCTTACTTGTGATGTTGTGGAGATGGAGACAGGTGAATAGGGTAATTTTTTTTAACTTAAAGATATCAGCTAGAGATTTCTCCAGTACTTACATTAAGACAATTGTTTTTTGTATTACAAGTTTTCTGAAATAGCATGTTTAAATATGCAAATGAGCCATAATCTCATTAAATATGTGCATCTTTTAATACATTTCAGGAACACAAATCTGAACATTGGATTACATTACATTACATTGCATTTAGCTGACGCTTTTATCCTAAGCGACTTACAATAAGTGCGTTCGACCAACCAGATACAAACTTGAAGAAAACAGAATCATATAAGTAGCTTTCATTTTGTATTCATATTAGAATCTAAAGTTTTTACAGAAGGGATTTTGGATATCTCTTTTTGTCACTCCATAAATCAGAAAATACTGTCAACAGCCCTAAAATATAAATGTTGCCATGTTTTTAGATATAAAATGTGATATAATTCAGGCTATGAATGATATATGAACAAGCCCTTCAGTAAAAACCTTCAGAATATTGATAGGAATATGACTGGAAGGTTTGGTGTATGTACGTGCTACTGAAGTGGACATTTCTCACTCAGAATATGAGAAAAAAATCATTTTGAGACAACGACCTTTAAAGATTGCTGTGTGGCGCCTCGACGCACTCCGTGAAGGTATTTCATGGTCAGGGTCATTTGTTTTTTGTCTTGCAAAATGACACTTATTGTCGCCTTCTCTGTGAATGTTTTTTTCGCTGTTCTTTTGCCATTTTGAGATTTAAATTTCCAGCGGAAAGCTAAACCAGGAAGTATTTTAGCACACCACGTGACACATCTGAACGAATCACGTTGTCATAAATTGACACCAGCCAATGAGATTTCGTTTCTTGGTTTAAGACCCCTTTGTACTTTCACGATTGGTTGCTGTTACAAAGGAAATGACCATATTTGGATCCGATGAAATTGTGCAGGAGAAATTGAGCTTTCCAACGATATATCTGATGACATGGTGCAAACAGCGGTCGTGGTACTTTATGTTACGTTAGAATGCTATCTTTTGGTGAATTTAGGAGATATCTACAGACGCAAATAGATAAACTATAGTAAAATAAACACTTAAATGTGTATTTTGTACGTTTTCCTTCCAAAAGCCTGAAAAAAAACATGTTATGGAATCAAAATAGCACAAAATCTCAAAATTGACCAGTGCATGAAAAACAATGTTTTTGCCTGTCGTGTCTCGCCTTAATATTTAAGGGGCATAATAGTTAACGGTCAGCTGACGGATGACAGATCCATGTCTTGATTAAGCCAGTTATTCATACTAGTACATTTGATTTTGTGGCATCGCTTACGTTCGTTCTCATTTATTTTTCTGACTGCCATCATCAAAGAGGAAATAGAAAACAGACTGTCAGAGGATCCGTTTCAATGTGTCTTGTGCATTTTTTTAACCTTTTGTCATTTTACCCACTGCTTTTCAGCCTAGAGCTTCTGATGGCATGTGGCAACAGATTGATCAAGCCAAAACTGCGTGCTGGACAGGAACTGGATGCAAATCTCATACATAAAGTGTATAAATCGAAAGCCCTATACATCAGATCATCAAAGTCAATTTTGGTATGTGATATCACATTTGAATTAACCTGCAGAACATTGTAAAAATAATAACCCATAATCTGTGTATAAACATGCATGAAGATTAAATGTTGTCAGTTCCCTCTGACATTTGAAATGTATGTTCTTCTTGAGCTTTAATTTCAGCTTTGTAGTCATGCAAATGTTTACTAGCTATGTGTTTATTTATTTTTGTACTTATATAGACTAGTGCAGAGTTGGAATGCCGGTTTTAAATGTTATATCCAAGTACAGAAATGTACTTAATTGGCAGCTGCCTAGTTGGACTAACAGAGCTAATAATAAAAGGGGATACTGGTACTCGTCGGGAGATGCCACTTTTAAAGCATGGACAGTAAAAGTAATTGTTGGCAATATAATCATTAATCCAAGTGTTTCCAGGTACTCTTCAGTGTAAATGTATTATATCTGAAAATTATTTGTATGTGTTTCCAAGGATGAGGTTACAGGCTATAGCAGTGAGGACAACAATTGTGCGGAAAACACTGGTTCAGCAAGGCAGCTGCGCTCCTCATTTCGACCACGAGATAGACAATCAAATGCATCTTCAGACAGTTTCAACAGTCCAATGACTGCCTCCCCACCAAACTGTACTTCTGCAGTTCAACCTTTTGCCTCATCACTTGGGTGTGGAGCGTCATTCAATCAAACTCCTGCCTTGACCTACCAAAGCAGCACATCAGCGAGCAGTTATTCTAGTCAACTGCCAGTATGCTCACTGGAAAGCAGTCTGCCTTCTACATCATCATTTAGAGGAACAACTTCTGTTGATCCAGCTCCGGGCAGCACTCCAGCAAGCCATTGTTCTGTGTTACCCTCTACCTCAACACACCACCAATCAGCAAACTATGATAGCTACCTTACAATAATGTCTGCATTGTCTGATGAGTCTTCTGATGAGGAATTGAACCAGGCTATACTAGCAAGCCTGCAGAGTGAAAGGTTAGTACAAAATGCAAATGTTTTACAATGACCAATTGCAAATATGCATTTTTGTTATTGCTGGCACGTTTTGTTCAGCAAGATAATCTTCAGAAATGAACACCACTTTTATGATTTTTGAAGCTTAATGCCATCGACAGAAGTAAAAAGCTATTGTCAAGCTCCAAACAAACTAGACCATGGTTGCCAAAGCTCACGTCACCACCATCAAACTAAAGGCGACTTTTCTTAACACACTTATTCTATGTCCTATGTTTTGCACCCTCACACAAGATGCTGCTGATCTCGGAGGGCATGCAAAACACTGGTCGGTGTACAAAAAGCACATGTCGACACTGTTTTTTTAATTACTCACTGTCAGGAGGGTAGACACAGGTCTGCACATCATTTATGACATTATGTGCGTTAGAGCTCTATTGTTGTCCAAAAACTATTAAAAACGCAGTAAGTCACACCGCTCCACTGAGTGGCACATTCCTTCATCCCTGGTGAGAGTGACTACTTTAGTTTGTTTAGAAATGGCTCCTCAAGATTAATAACAGCAATAAGATTGTTACTCTCAAGAGAGAGGTAACTTGAATGGCAGATGCCACTGAGTATTCTCAGGAACGCAGTTTAGTTTGCAAGCTTATGCTACATATCACCACCTATTGACTTTCTACTATACTAGTATACTTTGTAGGTGACAATTATGTACTGAAGTTCAAAATTGTCAATGATCATGAACAACACACACACATAATGCCACTTGCTCAAAACTAGTGTGTGTGCCCTAACTATTATTTATCTTGCTAGTTCCAGGATGGCTACGGGATGTTTGGTGCCGGTGAGAGATATTTTGCAAGATCTTGCAACAAAAATAAATCATCAGAAGAAATGCAAATTCAACATCAACCGATCCACAGTCCTTGGGGTTTTAAACGAGGGACATACGATCCATGTCACACTATTTCTGTCAGGTTTTCTGATGATATGGGAGTACCTGAAGAGGCTGTGGACTTAGGTGGACCAAGAAGAGAGTTTCTAAGACTTCTAATGGAAGCTTTGCCCAAATCTCCGATGTCTGAGGGAGAAGAAGGCCAACTGAACTTGGCCTTTGACAGTACTGGTATGTATTGATTGTAATCTCATGTGATAAACTCCAGATAACCATTTATTACATGTAGATCACTATGTTTTATATGATCTTACAGGCATTTTTCAAGTCTTTATACGCATGCATTGTCAAATATATAATAATTTTCATTTCTTCTAGCCATGAGAGAGGACCGGTACTTTATTGCAGGCAGGGCCATTGCAGTAAGCCTTGTACATGGCGGTTCTCCCGCAGGCTTTCTGTCCCCAACTCTCTTCTCTTGCCTTGTTGATGGCCCAGAATTGGCTAAGCCAGTGTTGGAAGATGTTGCGGATATTGACCTGCACGAAAAAATTAAGAGGGTAATTTCTTTTCCTCAGTTTTAGACTATGTTGTGCTGTAAGTGTGTCTGTTTCTACACTAGTGGCTAGTGCAGAGGGGAATATGTTGAATGTTGGCGCTTTCAAATGTTGTTTTTTGTATGTATTGGAAGGTCACGGAGGGTAAATCATTGGAAGATCTGCTAGCAACAACAGAACCACTTGAGGAGTATTTGGCCAATGCTGGCTGCCTGAGGCCGCTGCAGAGGTTGGAAGACAAGAATCTGCTTGTAGATGACATCCTGATGTTCCAAGTGATACACAGAGTGCGTGGTCCTTTTGAGAGGTACATTTTTATCCTCAGTTTTTTGCCTCTCCAATAAGGAATTGAAACCCATGAAGATTGCATTGTGTTCAGGGTTTTCTGTTGGCCATTTCTGTTGAAGTGTATGCGGTAATTTCCCGACTAAACCGCACCGTATATAAGCCACATGACAGTATTATGTTACATCATCGTGTCACATAGGCTAAAACTAAATGCCAGGTGGTTGTGGTGCGAGCGCTTCTAGCCATTTAAAAGTTGTTGTACAAAGTAGTTGTGGGCTTGGGTTGTGTGTTTGAGCAAAAATACTGTAAACCCTCCCCGCACGCGTAACATACACACGTGTATTTTTCTCCTGTTTGAAGAGCATCTAAGCAAGTAATTTTTCCTTGCCATGACGTTTAAAAATGACTACATGTGAAAATATAAAAGCTTCTTTAGTTCAAACTTAAGTCGCCAATCAACACACTTTAAAAAGTAAGAGTGATTTTTACTCAGATTTCGGGATGGACTGAGAACACTTGGTGTGCTGGACAAAATCCAAGCTCACCCGGAGAGTTTTCGCCCCCTTCTATGCTGGTCTCCTACAAACCTCACAGCTGACCTGCTTGACAGCCTCTTCACCATCCGCCTATCTACAGTTGGCAGCAATAGAAGGAGTGCTGAAGAAGTTGTTGTTCTTTTCTGGAGAGACTACCTAACAGATGCAGAAGGTTAATGTATAATTGTTTAAAGCGTTTCTTGTATGAACTGAAATATCTCCTCGCTTGTAATTAACAATGCACTGCATCTTGACATTGTATCAGTTAAGTGCAGTGTTTTTTTTGTTTGTTTGTGTTCTTTCTAATTTCCGATGTATTGGACTTTTCTCTAGATCAAGAGGGAACACAGAACCTGAGGACAATTCTTGCCTTTGCCACTGGAGCCAATACTGTTCCACCAATTGGCTTTGATCCACCACCTTCAATTGAATTTCTTCACCAAAATTATGACTCAGGAACCACTTCTAAACTTCCCATTGCAAACACCTGCATCAACTGTTTGAAGTTGCCACTGCACAGCTCTTACATAGACTTCCAGGAAAATATGGACTTTGCACTGGGCAATACCCAGGGTTTCGGCATAGCTTAATTCATGGGCAGGCCTCCATCTCAGTTTTCTGTTTAAAGGTCAAGTTCACACTCAAATAAATACATTTTAGTTCAAAAAGGCTATGTGTGGAGGACGTGTATGGGGTTATTCCCTATCTTTATTCAAGAGCGTGGTCTTTACATTTGAGAGCATATTTATTGATTTCACGTTCAGATGTATTTATTTCCCCAAAACCCTGTCCTCGCACTCAAATAGTCAACAACCCTGTCAAAATCCCTCAACCAATAGGAGGCCAGGTGTCCTTGCGGGTTGTTGGGGCAGAAGTCACACTCTGGCGGGGGCTCTGAGGCCCCCCTTCTGCTCCGCGCGTTCTTTTGTGAATGGGTCAGATTAACGGAGGAAGAATTCAAAGCAACCAGGGTAAGGTTATAACAAATATGCTGATTTAATGGTAAAAGATACAATACAACACAATCACGAAGTAATCCGAATTACCCTGGCTCTGGTTCCCTCCACTGGGAGGACTTACCACCTTGGCAGCAGGAGGGAGAGAGAACGAACCAAAGACAGACAGGCTTACATACAAAAACAACAGGAGGAGTTGTGTGGATGCTCCTCCCAGAGGGGTCATCTATTGGAAGAGACAAACGATGGCCTGTCGTAGCCAATCAGCGCGAGCCAGAGGCGACCCTTAAATTTGAGGCAACACAAACCCATCTGGTGTTGTTGTCTCGCATTCCTGCAGCTTTCACACACACTTTTTCCCTAAACATCTTTAACGCACACACATCTTTATGATTAACAGAAGTTAATTGTTATTGTAGCTTAAGGCCCTCTGAACTTCCTTTCACCTCGAAGTCCGCTTTACTGGAATGAATACATTCATCAATGAGAACAAAAGGACCATGGTCTCCAGGCCTCTTTATGAACCTTGGAGGAAATAAACCATTAACTTAACAAGACTTTAACTGCATTATATCTGGGGGAAATCTCCCTTGGAGTTCCCCTGTTAATTGCAAAAAACATTGATGATTAACAGAGGGACTCATGGGCCTCTAACTGCAACAAGATTTTCTGAAAAATACTTCTCAACGGGTAATCTTTTCACTCAAGGCAGAAATCACAGGCTATACTAAAAATGTGACATTTAAAAATGAATATACCAGAAATACACTGTATTAAACTTTTCTGCCATAACACGTTACTTCAGGGTGCGTTAGCTTTACTTATTAGAGCGTCCCATAAGGGTGGTTACTCTTTGGTTTATAAACTCCCGCCCTCCACGGCTTTATTAAATGTACTTCACTTGTTTCATTTACAACTTTTGGGGTAAAAAAGCACAGTTAAGTTGAGGCTGGGGAAGATATATCAGCATGTAGTTCAACATGCAAATGTTCTAATGTACAACTGTACAAGTAAGTACAAGTATAACATGGAAAAGGAAATAAAATAAGTTTCATAGGAGGATGTGGATTTATTTTCTCTCACCTTGTAATTACACAATCAAACAATCTATAATTTAGCTCTGGCCTTCACTCACAAAAACACATTTAGTTGAATTGGACACATTTTTCGAAGCTCTATTGACTGACATGCAATGACTGGGACTGATGGAAGAATCTGAGAGGAATGAAAGAGAAATAATCATATTTTAAAAGACAGCAGCTTCATAAGAGGCCCACAAGAGTGACAGAGTGTGTCACTTTGCTGAAGGATAGACCAGCTATCCAGGCCAGTCTCTAAAGACTTTCCAAGGGGTAAAAAATGCTGCTGCCGGAGTACTGACTGGAAGTAGTGCTGATATCATGTCCACCATCCTCTTAAAGGTCCCATGTCATGCTTTTCCGGTTATTACCCGTCCCCCTGTGTGTCATGAAGGTTTTTCTGTATGTAAACGGTCTGCAGAGTCAAAACCCTCAAAGTAAACCCTGTAGCGAGTAAAACTCTAACACAGAAAATACCTCCCCAAAAAGCCTCGTTGGAGAAACGAAAAAAAAAGCCTCATAATTTTCCACATGATTTAATTTTTTTAATTACATTACATCTCACTTGTTAGACGCTTTTATTCAAAGCGACTTACATACTCAGTACTGGGCAATCCCCACAGGAGCAATTTGGGGAGAAGTGTCTCAGGGACACAACGACATGCTGACTGCAGTGGGGTTTGAACCTGTGCACCGAACACCAATGCTCAACCCACTGCACCACACGCCTCCAATGTTGATCGCATTTGGAAGATGAACACAAGAGCGTGGCACGCGTTGCTTTGATAATACTCTCCTCATTGCATATTAAAAAGGAATAAACCATGAAAGCACTCACCGGACTCTATGGATA